AGCACTGGAGGACGAGCACTGTAGGACGAGCACTGGAGGAGGAGCACTGGAGGAGGAGCACTGGAGGAGGAGCACTGGAGGAGGTGTGAGGGCACAAGGAGGTACAGACGAGCTACACAACAGGTGAAAGTTGGAAAAGTAAATAATCTCGGTTAGGTGTGAAAGATTTGCACCTCCATAATGAACACACACACACGCACACACCACCACACACATCACACACACACACACACACACACACACACACACACACACACACACACACACACATAACACTCACAAACACACACAGACACAACACACGCCGCTTAGGAAATCAGGTATGAACGCTATCCGGATCATAACTAAGCCAGGTACAAGTAAGCACAAGCAGGATGCTGGGCCAGAAAGTGTTCTGGAAAAGTACGGGATGTCATCGCGTATCGCGGCTCGTGACTGAATGGAAAAGAAGAGCAAAGAATTGAAGACACAATTAGATATAAGAGGCGTCAGTTACAGTAAAGATAGACAGAGAGGAAGGCCAGACGATGGTCAACAAACCTCCAGATCTCTCTCGGCTCATCCCCAGATCATCTGGTAGTAGGTTCAACTTAAGCCTCCCCCCAGATCATCTGACAGTAGGTTCAACTTAAGCCTCCACAATAACAAGCCCACACTTCCCATCCCACCTATATTATATTGATTATTTTATATATATGATTATCCGGCAATATAACCTGATCCACCTACCTCTGTAGCAATTATAACCCTCATCCACCTCCCTCTGTAGCAGTTATAACCCTGATCCACCTCCCTCTGTAGCAATTATAACTCTGATCCACCTCCCTCTGTAGCAATTATAACTCTGATCCACCTCCCTCTTTAACAACTATATCCCTGACTTCCTCTCTGTAACAACTCTAACTCTGACTCCCTCTGTGACAATGTACACACCAGTTCTTCCTCACCCCTCCTTTACAAATGAACGACATACAGTAGCGCTGGATATCGCAAATCAAAACTTAGTACAAGAAGGGAAGCTCAGAGAATGTTACACAAATGCAGATGGATTATCAAATAATAATGACGAATTAGAAAAGAAAATTGGATAGCAGAGTCAACCTCAAGCATAATTAGCTCTCATAGAGACAAAACTGAGCTGATAACAGATGCCATATTCCCTGAAGGATATCAGGTAATGAGAAAACAAAGAGGAAGGAGGGAATGGGAGTGAAATTTTGAAAAGATGAGAGGAATAGACAGAAATGATTTAAAATAACTACATAGTGGGCACAGTCAAGACTTGGGGGGCCCAAAGTAATAGCAGCAGTGATCTACAACCCACAGTCAAACAGAGGGACACTATGGGAGGAATATGAATTCAGTGAGCGCAAAGGCATCAAGAAGAACTTGTACAGCCAGAGTAAAGATGCTAATCATGGGAGATTTCAACCACAAATAGACTAAGAGAATTGGAAACCACAGGAAGACCAGAAACATGGAGAGCTAAGATGATGGAAGGGGTGGTAGAAAGCTTTATGTGTCAACATGTCAAGGCCACAAGAGAGAGAGAGAGAGAGAGAGAGAGAGAGAGAGAGAGAGAGAGAGAGAGAGAGAGAGAGAGAGAGAGAGAGAGAGAGAGAGAGAGAGAGAGAGAGAGAGATGAGAAGATGAATCAGCAAAACTGCATCTATTATTGACTAAGAGTAATTGATATATTGTGACATAAAAGTGAGAGGCTTCTACGTGGCAGCGACCAGACAGTTCTGAGTTTCCAACACCAAGTGAAGTTAAACATTGAAGGAAGTTTATCTGGTGGGCATAAGTCCAACCTTCTCTACTTCAGTGATATTAAAGGTGTCCCAATATCCTGCAAGCCCAGCCTCGTCTACCTCAAGGCACATAAAAAGGAATTGTGGAGGGAGGTCATGAGATTCTAATGGAGCAAAATATAAAAAATAATATATGTTCCGATGTCACATGATGTTACAAGTCTGCTGCCTCACTAAAGTAAACTTCCTTTACCCATTCTCCACATCGCTACCCGGGATAATTCCTACCCCAGATTTACACACCTTTGCCATCCTATTCTGCTCCATCCTTTCTAAATAGCCAAACCACTTCAACAACAATTCCCCTCCACTCTGCACTCTGGATTATACCACTCGTAATAACTCACCACCTAATTTTTGCATATTGTTGACACCACACATTGTTCTCCATCATAACATCTCCAATGTCTCCACCTTTCTTCACTGTCTCCACCTTTCTTCTTGCTCCACATCTCAACGCTCGTAATAACAGCGTCAGAACTACTATTCTCTGGTATATTCCTGTTTTTGCCTCTGATAAATTTCTTTCCACTGGTACCTCAATACTTTACCTACCTTTTCTCCCTTGTCTATATTTGGCGAACCCGAGAGTGGTTCTGAGGGGTTCTAAATGTCGAGTAACCCGCTTCTTGTGCGGAGTTGCGCATGCCTGCAAACCCACCGGCGCAGATAACACCCTTTGCTGTCGATCAGTCACCCTTGTCACCTTTCTATACACAGCCAAGGACTGTGCTCTTTCTGCGCCTCCGGCGGCCACGGAGGAGGGAGGATCACCTAACGAAAGTGGCACGCACACACGCCACTTACTGACACAAATAATACCTCGCGTCTGATATGCAACAAGTGGAATATTGATACAGTGATGAGGTGGGACTGGAAATTCCTAACGGTAATGTAGGCTCGGTTAAGGGCACTTCCTATCAAGACCTAGGGCCACGAAAACCATGCGAGTCTGGAATTAGGAACGACTGAGACGGTTTCGGTCGATTGTGGCTCCGACTCTTCCTTAGACGAGAGCTTTCAACTTTGCCAGAATATAGGAGAAAAAGGCACAATGCCGTGACTGGAACATTACCGGGGATCGATTCCCCGGTATTGCTGGAAAACATTAGGGACCTAATGTCCCTGTTCACCCATAAGTAAAATGGGTACCTGGTATTAGTATATGGGTGTGGGTCGCATCCTGGGACAAAACTGACCTAATTTGCCCGAAATGCTCTGAATAACAAGCGGCTTTCTATATAGTAGTATGTCATTGATGTCAGCTATGGTCTGTATACCTTGTACATATATTTGTAGAAATAAAGATATATTATTATTATTATTATTATTATTATTATTATTTATTATTATCATTATTATTATTATTATTACCAAAACCAAGAGGTAAACGTGACAGGAACAATACACAGATAACCCGCACATGGGTAGACAGAAACCTGTGCCAACGTTACGGTCTGGTTCAGACCACTAACTAGTAACAGGAGAAAATAGCACAATTTAGCTTTCATAACAGAATGATACATTGTTTGTGCGGAAATGACTGACACTTGAGAGCATATTTAAAAGTCCAGAGTTATGCAGAACATTTTGGAAGTTCTGGGTGACTAGTTGCTAGTCTAAGTCGGACCAAAACATCGTCATAAGCTCCAGTCTCCTATGTTTGTAGATGAATGGTTCAGAGAACCGACATGTTGATAAATTAGACACATGTGCAACTCTTGGCTATCTTTATTGAGGAAACGTTTCCTCAGTAAAGATACCCAAGAGTTGCACATGTGTCTAATTTATCATCAGTCTCCTATGTGCTGGTTATATGTGTATTTAACACATATAACCAGCTACACACCAGCCAACTACCTCGACGGGATGGCACTGTACGTTGCAACAACCGTAGACTACTGGTGTGGGACATTAGTGTCTACCTAACCGAATACCTACATCGTTTACCTAGCCCATGTCTACATGACATGTTGAAGAATTGAGACACTTATGCAACATATGGGAATCTTTTACTGAGGAAATGTTTCGCCACACAGTGGCTTCATCAGTCCAATACAAAGCAGGAAGGTGTAAGGAGAGGAGGAGTTCAGGTAATCAGTCCCTCAGCCTGGAATCGATGTGTTTAGTCCATCACTCTTGTAGGAGGTACAGCATAGGGCCAGAGAGGTGGCTTATATACTGGCTTATATAATGGCTTATATACTGGCTTATATACTGGCTTATATACTGGCTTATATACTGGCTAATATACTGGCTTATATACTGGCTTATATACTGGCTTATTACATGGCTTATATACTGACTTATATACTGCTTATATACTGGCTTATATACTGGCTTATATACTGGCTTATATACTGGCTTATATGACATTAAGCTCAGGTAGCACCTCAAGTCACAAGCTCCTGGGCCTCTCCTAACCATCTACAAGCTTTTCCTCATCTCTTTATCCTAATTTAACACTGGTGAAGTATTCCTGGCGATTCTGAAAACTTTTGCAATAAGGCAACGCTCTTCTTGCCGAATAAGGCAAGCGAAAATTTGTGTATGTAGTTTCGCAAGAATCATTCTGATCCTAACGAAAAAAATATATTTTATTGTGTTTGTTTATTATGAAATTATTGTAAACTTATCAAAAATAAATTTAGTTGGATTAAGCTAAATTAAATTGTGCTTGTTATAATAAGGCTAGGTAAGTTTTCTAAGACACTTTTGGTACAAAATTATTAATTAATGAAAAAAAATATCTTTGAACGTATAAGAGAAAATTTTAGAAAGGACTTAATTTTAAATGAGTTCTTGCTAATTGACCAGTTTTACCTATTCTGTACGACATATATATATATAAATGGTTGAGAATTAAGCATTTTTCAGTTCTGATATTCACTTATCACGAGACATAATATTTTGGGAACAGCGACGTCAAAAATCGAAAATTATGAAATGACCACAACAAACCAAAGAAGTGGAAGTGGAAGTAAGACGTGATAAACACGGGTGATAAATACGGGTGATAACCACGGGGGATAAACACGGGTGATACACACGGGTGATAAACACGGGTGATAAAGACTGCGGTTACTGACTTACCTGTGGGTGTATTTGTACAGGTGTTGAGTGAGTGAGACACACACAGGTGTGCTGCAGGTGTGCTCAGCACTACCTTACAACCACTCATATACTCACGTCACATCTACGCTAACTTGTCACTCTAATCTCGCTAGCTCTTTCTTCTGGGAGCTAATAACCAGCACGAGAGAGTGAGAGGGTTCATCCAGGCACTCCCAACGACTAAATTATCCCCAGGGAGGAACGCTGAAGAGGCGCTAGCCCTGCGTATCTCTGGAGTGGCGGTTGCTGCGGACGCGACGGGCCGTCAGTAGAGCGTGCAGGGTCCGGACCGGGTCAGCTGTGTGACCGCTCACGCAACTGAGTATGTCCAGAAGCAGGAACCCGCAGAGAGATGCCAGCGGCACATGGCCCCTCCGAACTCCCTAGCCAAGATAGGACCACCTAAGATTTGCAGCCGTTAATCTGAGGCACGAAGCATACTGTAAACCCTCCTATGTCTTATTTAGGGATCTAGATGAGGTATCATGGATAGATCACTGGGTTTGGGTCCCGAAGAGGGAGCTACGAGTAATCCACGCTATATTTATACATCAATCCAAGAGTACAGACATAATGCGCCTGACATGAGGGAAGAGGTGTACATGTGAATGGGTGTAATGCTAAACTCTCCTGTGTCTGGTTCTGTGCCCGTGTCCTTTGTCCTGTTTCTTGGTTTGCTGGCGTCTCATGTGTCCAGATGATTCTTGGTTCCTGTGTCCCTCGGGTATATGTATCCCTAGTGTCATTTGATACTCATGAGCTGTGTTCGTGCGCCTGTCTGTGCTGGGATGTGTTCATGGTAATGTGGTGTTATGTAGCTGGTGTCCTTGTTTGTGCTGTGTCCCTTGTCTTGTCCTGTGTTTTTCCTGTGTCTTGTGTCCCTGTCTTGTGTCCTGTGTTCTTGTATGTTTGGTCCCTGTGCCCTTGTGTCTTGTGTCTGTCTTGTGCCCAATGTCTTTGTTCTGTGTCCCTGTTTGTCCCTGTCTTGTGTTCTGTGTCCCTGTGTCTTGTGTCCCTGTGTCTTGTGTCCCAATGTCTTGTGTTGTGTCCCGTGTTCTTTTCTGTGTTCCTTGTTATTGTGTCCTGTGTTCTGTGTCTTGTGCCCATGTTTTGTTGTCCCTGTCTTGGTTCCCTGTGTCCTGTGTCCTGTGTTCTTGTATATTGTGTCCTGTGTTCTTGTGTCCTGTGTCCTTGTATTGTGTCCTGTCTCTGTGTTTGTGTCCCTGCGTCTTGTGTCCCATCTGTGTTTGTGTCCCTGTGTCTTGTGTCCCTGTGTCTTGTGTCCCATGTCTTGTCTGTGTCTGTCCCTGTGTTTTGTCCTGTGTCTTGTTGGTTCTTGTACCTGTGTCTGTGTTCCTGTGTCTTGTGTCCTGTGTCTTGGTCCTGTGTCTTGTTCTTGTCCTGTGTCCTTGTGTCCCTGTGTTCCTGTGTCTTGTGTCCCTTTTCGTGTGTCTTGTGTCCCTGTGTCCTTGTGTCCTGTGTCCCTGTATCTTGTGTCCTTGTGTTCTGTGTTGTAGTGTGAGGAATATATACATCACCAGGTGTTTATATCTGAGTGTATATACATCAAGAGGTGTATATATCACGGTACACATGCATCAAGAGGTGTGTATATACATTACGATTTTTTTATTAACACATCGGCCATTTCTCGCCGAGGCAGGGTGATCCGAATAAGAAGAAACACTTTCACCATGATTCACTCCATCACTGTCTTGCCAGAGGCACGCCTACATTACAGTTCAGAAAACTGCAACATCAACATCCCTCCTTCAGAGTGCAGGCACTGTACTTCCCACCTCCAGGACTCAAGTCCGTCCGACTAACCGGTTTCCCTGAATCCCTTCATAAATGTACCTTTGCTCACACTCCAACAGCGCGTCAAGTCATAAAAACTATTTGTCTCCACTCGTTCTTAACACGCTCATGCACGCTTGCTTAAAGTCTAAGCTCTCGCACATAAAACTTCCTATACCCCCCTCCCTCCAACCTTTCCTAGGACGACCCCTGCCCTGCCTTCCTTCTTTCCTTCCACTACAGATTTATACGCCCTCCAAGTCATTCTGTTTCATTCCATCTTCCCTAAATGTCCAAACCGCCTCGATAACCCCTCCTCTGCCCTCTGGATAATACTTTTAGAAACCACGCACTTCCTTTAATCTCCGGGCTACGGATTCTTTGCTTAATACTCACACCACACATTGCCCTCAGACACATCTCCACTGTCTCCAGCCTTCTCCTTGTTGCAACATTCACCACCCATGCTTCACACCCATATAAAACGTTGGCACCACTAGACTATCACCCATTCCCCTATTTGCTTCCAAAGATAACGTTCTTTGTTTCCACAGACTCTTTAGTGCACTACTCACCTTTCCTCCCCTTCCCCTCATCAATTCTATGTTTCATCTCATCTTTCATAGACCCGTCTAGTGACAAGTCCACTCACACAATATCTAAATATATTCACTTTCCTCCATACTTCCTCCCTCCAGTCTCATATCCAACCATTCATTACTTAAACTTTTTGTTATCCTCATCAAGACTGGGCAGGCGATGCAAAATGCCGCCAATAAAAAGTAGGGGCGCCATTGGTACACTAAGAGAAAACACCATAAGTGTCCGGGGCCCAAAACTGTTCAACAGCCTCCCATCAAGCATTAGGGGAATTGCCAATAAACCCCTGGCTGCCTTCAAGAGAGAGCTGGACAGATACCTAAAGTCGGTGCCGGATCAGCCGGGCTGTGGCTCGTACGTCGGACTGCGTGCGGCCAGCAGTAACAGCCTAGTTGATCAGGCCCTGATCCATCGGGAGGCCTGGTCGTGGACCGGGCCGCGGGGGCGTTGATCCCCGGAATAACCTCCAGGTAACCTCCAGGTAACCTTGCTCTTTCCTATTTTCACTTTCAATTCCCTTCTTTTACATGCCCTACCAAACCCGTCCACCAACCTCTGCAACTTCTCTTCAGAATCTCCCAAAACACAGTGTCATCAGCAAAAAACAACTGTAACAACTCTCACTCTGTGTTAGATTCTTTATCTTTCAATCCCACACCTCTTGCCAACACCCGAGCATTCACTTCTCTTGCTATCCTGTCTATAAATATATTGAACAACTATGGTGACATCCTTGTCTAAGGTCTACTTTTACTGGGAAATAATTTCCGACATACTCTAACCTGATCTTCACTATCCTCATGAAAACTCTTCACTGCTTTCAATAACCTACCACCTATTCCATACATTTGCAATATCTGCCACATTGATAATAATAATAATAATAATAATAATAATAATAATAATAATAATAATAATAATAATAATAATAATAATAATAATAATAAAAATAATAAAAATAATTCTGATAATAATAATAATCTTTATTTCTACAAGTACATGTACAAGGTATATAGGCCTAGCTGACATCAGTGATATAGTACTCTATGGAGAGCCGCTTGTTATGTAGAGCATATGCCGCAAATTAAGTCAATTTTGTCCCAAGGATGCGACCCACACCACGAGTTTCTTTCCCCAATTTACACCGACGTTCAAAGTTTGATGCCGATTTGATGAGGTGTTCTCGTATTGTGGACGAAAATCTGAGGAGGAAAAGAAAAGGCTATAGAATGCTACTTTAATTTACCCCCATTGTCTTAATAAATATAAAGGGATACCTGGGTTAACAAATATGAGAGGATACCTGAAAATTACGGTGCGTGGGCAGACTATGATAAAAGTTGTCGGGTCATTTTTGTCATGGAAGTATTCTCTCCGTCGATTATATGGTGATTTAAATGTGATTAAAAGTAGCCATGCGAGCCTGGGTTGGTTGTGTAAGTTGTACCACCCATACTGTGTGTGTGTGTGTGTGTGTATGTGTGTGTGTGTTGTATGGGTGGGAGAATATGTGTGTCGAGAGTTTGTGAGGACCGGTGGGCCGAGCCTGCACACACACACACACACACACACACACACACACACACACACACACACACACACACACATAACACACACACACATACACACACACACACACACACACACACACACACACACACACACACACACACATACACCAACACACACACACACACACACACACACTACACACACACACACACACACACACACACACACACACACACACACACACACGCACACACAGTGACTTGTACAAAGAAACTTTTGACGACGTTTCGGACAGTTTTAGACCACTAACTAGTCGACAAATTAGACACACATTGCGGACACGTATCGCCCCACAGTGGCTTCTGATACTTACTATTTTTCAACTGGATTAATAAAGCCACTGTGTGGGCGAAACTTTTCCACGATAAAGATAATCATTAGCTAATCGTATGTGCTAGTTATTTGTATATTGTTCTAGTCGACGTTTAGCTCAAAATATAGTGTGGATGGATCTCTTCAATGTTAACCCAAGAGACTTTAAAATGAGTTGAGAAGTAACTTCACTTCTACAGGAAGTAGAACAAGGTGTCGTAACTGGTGAAGTCAGTACGGGGATGTGTGATGGTGTTCTCATCTCCCTACTGAAGCATCCCGGTGAAGGCTGACCCATCCTGTGTGACGGTGTTCTCATCTCCCTACTGAAGCATCCCGGTGAAGGCTGACCCATCCTGTGTGATGGTGTTCTCATCTCCCTACTGAAGCATCCCGGTGAAGGCTGACCCATCCTGTGTGATGGTGTTCTCATCTCCCTACTGAAGCATCCCGGTGAAGGCTGACCCATCCTGTGTGATGGTGTTCTCATCTCCCTACTGAAGCATCCCGGTGAAGGCTGACCCATCCTGTGTGATGGTGTTCTCATCCCCCTACTGAAGCATCCCGGTGAAGGCTGACCCATCCTGTGTGACGGTGTTCTCATCTCCCTACTGAAGCATCCCGGTGAAGGCTGACCCATCCTGTGTGACGGTGTTCTCATCCCCTACTGAAGCATCCCGGTGAAGGCTGACCCATCCTGTGTGTAGTGTTCTCACCTCCCTACTGAAGCATCCCGGTGAAGGCTGACCCATCCTGTGTGATGTGTTCTCATCTCCCTACTGAAGCATCCCGGTGAAGGCTGACCCATCCTGTGTGATGGTGTTCTCATCTCCCTACTGAAGCATCCCGGTGAAGGCTGACCCATCCTGTGTGATGGTGTTCTCATCTCCCTACTGAAGCATCCCGGTGAAGGCTGACCCATCCTGTGT